GGCACTTCCGGTCCGGCCTTCGCTGGCGCGCTTGGATCCATGCGGCGAACGGTCAGGGACGGGGCAGCTAGTATACAGCTTCAAGCGAGATTTCATTGCAAACTCATCTAAACACAGAAAAGCACACACAGACAGATGCCGCGGATGTGAGAGTCCGCAACGTAATGTTGATTGCCTTGCCAACAAAATGCAACTGCTCACATACACCACATACACCACAAACACCACACACACCATAAACACACAAAAAACATTAAACATTTAAGGGAAAGAATAGTAGGGTCGGGTGGTCGGGGTGTGGCTGTGGCTGTGAGTGTATATTGTTAATAATACCTTTTTAAATTACGTTGCTTCATAGCCAAAATTCGTTTTCCACCGTAGAATAATTTCGCTTCTTAGTTTTTATTACGATGTATATGGCGAGAGTCGATTGCATTAATGATACTATTATGATTATGATTACGTATTATAAAGCGCAGATATACAGCTGCAGATGCAAATAATTGTTTCGCGTCGTGTGAACCTGAGAGAGCGTTTATGAGAACAGAGCTTTATATTGATTAAATTGTAATTTGTTTAAATGGAATTTGGATATGATGGATATGTTAATATTGGCCCAGCACTTGAGTTGAGTTTGCCGTCTATTATGTTTACATTTGTGGTTTCGTTTCGTCCAACTTGTTTTGTTTAAATGTACTTGTACATGGATGTACCTAAATTCTATTATCATGTTCTGATTGTTTCCCTTTTACATTTGATTTGATTCATTTGTCATTTCATTTGTGCAGTAGCGTTAGCAATATTGGCTTCCAATTCCAAATTTGAAATTCATCATTTGCCAGGAACCTGCCACATTTGCCGTACATAGCGTTTAAGAGTCATCTGCCGAACTCGTCGAACAGCAGCTCACCCCCACAGAACAGCAACTGCAACATGAACACTGCAACACAGCAACACTCACACACGTGAAATCATTAAGCGAACATATATTTTAATTATAGACTGATTTATTAGTAATTGAAATTAATCTACAAATATGTATGTGTAATGGTACCGTATGTATTTCAATAAAATTTATCGGTTTAAGCATAAATCTGAATAAACGCAGGAATAATAATAAAAATAGTTAAAACCATCTATTTGCTCCATCTTATTGTTTCATGGAACTGGGAGCATTGTAGCTATAAACTGTTGCTTCTAAAACAAAATTGATTGAATTCAGTTCATTTCACTTTATTTGTTCATTGTGTAACTGGACTGGAGTGGAGACTACTCCGAAAAACAATAAAATATTTAATACTTTATAACATTAAAGTAGGGCTATGATTGGACGATTCTTGGACAGTTTCCAACGACTGCTCTTGGCAGATACCCTCCGGGTATTTTGAGTATGAAACATTTCCAGTTGCGAGGGGTTACGAATTCGTCTACGGGATTATTTATACAGATTAACTTTTCTTTAATCAAACAAATCACTTCAATGCGATTCAATTCCAAAAACCATAATGGGTGAGTAGTAAACTTAAATTTAAGTTATTGAAACTAAGTAACTATGAACTAAATGGGTAATTGACTTTGAGAATTCCACGCTTAGTCATTCTTAGATCTTCGACTTCTTGCTGCTGTGTCCCTCGATGCCGACATTGCAGCGGGAGGCCACGTCCTGGGCCGAGGTGACCGTGCTGGGCACTGCACCGCTGCCCAGAGCTGAAATGTTGCCATTGCTGGGCCGCTTTCGCGTGGGCGAGTGAACCGGCGACTTCTGCTTGAGACACTCCACATCGTTGAACACCACTTGGGCACCGCCGCCACAAGTGGGGATGACATTTCCCTTATACAGCTTGGTCTCCACATCACCATCCGTATCCGCATCCTGCGAGACGAGACAGTACTTGGTCGTTCCGTGGGCAGTTAGCTCCTTCATGTCCGTTAGCTTTGTCACCGATTTTCGATTCTTCAGATACGGCTGCATGATGGTTCCAAGGGGAACAGGATTGGCTGCCCGATGCTCCAGCCACTTGTCACCGGCAGATCGAGAACGTCTATGCCGGTTGTTGGCCGCTGCAGCACCCTGTTCGGATATACCATTATTAAAACATATTTATCCAAGGATGAATTATTCACTTACATGACGAGGGGTCGCGTATATATCTGTCCTTGTTGCTGGCACCGAGGACACCTCCGTGCGTACTGTATATGCACCGCGATCTTTTTCGTTAAGTATGTTTTCGGAGCTCTGTGACCGCGGCAAACTGGGCAGCTCTTCGGACTGCAGAATATTGGAGACTAATCGCAGTTTCTCGTCCTTGATGCGCATACGTTCCTGTAATTTCGCACGCTGTTCACGCAGCTTTAGCTCAAACTCTCGCTTGTTTTTGTCCGACTCAACGGCCAGCTTGGAGCTGAACTTCTTCTTTTGCTTTTCCTTCTCGTGCTCCTTCTGGGTGAGCATGTTCTCCTTCTCGTTCAGCTTGAAAGTCAGCTCTTCAATCTGCCGTTCTTGTTTGCTTAGCGTGTTGTTAAGCACGTCAATAGAGCTCTCGTGGATGCGAACCTTCTTCTCAAGGGCAGCGCTGCGATCGCGCTCCTGCTTGTAGACAGCCTTCAAGGAAGCAAGCTCTGTGCGCAGCTGAAGATTGTCGCGGTCAAGGTTCATCAGCATCTGCCGGAAGCTGTCACCTAAAGGTCAAGGAATATATAAGTCAATTTGCTTTAATACGATTAAAAAGTTGACGCCTTACATTTTATGTCCAAATTGGCACGCAGCTTCTTTCGCTTCTCTATGCGCTGCTCCAGATAGTGCATTAGCTCGCGGATTTTGATCTGTGCCTCGGGACTGTCCATTTCGTAGGCCGGAAAATCGGCCCCCAAACTGTACACCAAACCCACATCCACCTCCAAATCCTTGGCCTCGGGAATGCCCAGCTCGTTCAGATTGTTAACAGCAATCTTGAATAGCTTGTTGGCCTTGCGACGGCCGGGAGTCAGACCCAAATCTTGCTTCATAGGAGTTGCCCGAGCGATTTGCACTTCCTGGGTCATCTCGGCGAATTTCATAACTTGCTAAATGGGATGATTAAATTTTGAGGATAAGAGTACATTGTTGTCTAAAATTTATTTTACCATATTCTCATCATAGTCCTCAATTCTTGGGTTGATGCACACAATCATAGACACCTGTCCTTCGCCATCGAAGTAGTTTTTAAACATGTGTGTGATCTTCGAGTCTCGATAGGGGACCTTCTTGGGTGCCAATCCATTGCTTGCTGAGAGTTGGTTCTCGCGCAGATATTCTAGGCAAGTGCGCAGCGTCATCAGCGAGTTATTGATGTTGCCCGCCTCACGGAGTCGCACACCGGTGTTCTTCGTCCTTGAGGAGCGCTCACTGCCCGCCAGATCCACCAGGGACAGTTGACTTACTGTGATGTTTTGCCGATCCTGAACAACATTCTCACCCTGGCTATCAGTGGGTGCTTGCACCAAGCGTATATTGAACACCGAGTGACTTCTACTAGATTCTGCATTAAGAACAGTGTGTCCCATGCGTTTGCGCTTCTGACCCATTTGAAAGACCTCGAGGGCCTCCTCCACTGTCTTGACCTCCACTTCTGTAACGCCGTGGACGAACATATGACGGTTGGCATCTTCACGAATGATTTTGCTTTGCAAAGTCCTGTGTGGATTACGAATTCAGTTGGATTTTTCGAATTTAAAGCCTAGATATGAATACTTACTTCTGTATACCCGAGTCCTCCAGGAGGTCGTAAACACTGTTATTGTAAATCTCAATGTAGGTGACAAACACCGAGTACATGTTATCCTCATCCAAACCCAGCAGCGGGATTGGCTCTACTGAGGCCTGAGATGCTATTTCTGGATCGGAGTCTTTGTGCCGGAAGGCAAATCGTCCTGCGCCAGCAAATCGCTGGTTCATCTCGTGCTGCCGCTCCAAGAGCGCATCTTCTTCGGACAGAATTTCGAAGCCATTAAGCTTGTCCGGCTTGAAGACGAACTTTTTGGCCTGGTAATCTGAGATGGTGCGAAAGAGCACGTCCAGGCAGCGCGGCATGATGCCGCGGTGCCGCAGGTTTCCTGTCATGGTGTACGTTTTTCCACTTCCTGTCACTCCGTAGGTGAAGAGCAGACTGTTTCGGCCTTTCAGGAGGTTCTCCACCAGTGGCTGAGCCACAGATGCGTACACATCCTGTTGCGTGGCATCCGGCTGGAAAACGTGCTTGAAAATGTACTGAATCTCGCGCTGGGCTGCATTATGTTGCTTGTGGTGCTGTAGCAGCTGATCCTGTGGATTTAGGGCGATCGTTGTGGAATTCTTGACTCTCAGGGAGGTGAGATCTGCGTCAGATTGAAGGGGCCGCACCCGACAGAACACGTTTACTGGATCCCTGGCCTTTTCGGAGGTGTCTCGTCGCTGCTTCTCCACTGTTTGTTGCATCCGCGGAGTTTTCGGGACAACGCGCATCGGCGTCCTCGGTCTGCAATTGGATATTCTCATTGATAGAGTTGATCCTTTGTGGACTGTCATATCACTTACACTGCCTTCATGTTGTCAGCTTGCTTTTGCCACTAATTTTTTAAACGGGAGCTGGTTTTCTTCTTGTTTTGGTGCTTAAATCGACCTTTCTTTTAGGTCGTTACCTTCAAATTTACAGCGCCAAGTGACGCCACGCTTGGTTTTAGAGTGACCGAATTTTCGAAAGCGATTAATTCTCTAATACCATCTTTTCCTCCGACATATACCAAATGCATAAAAATACTCAGGGTGTGAACAGTGCTGGCCATTTCAATAGGTTTAGAAATTTGTATATACTAGATTTTAAACTTATTTATTAATTGTAAGTATGATCTCACTTACAAAACGGTAATCGCCATACCAAATTAAAATTACTTTTACTTTTTCGGACCTAAAATGACTATAATATTGACTAATGTATATACAAATGATGATGCAAAATACTATTTTTAAAATTAAAGAAAAATAATTTGTAGTGCTTATGGCTTTTTATTAAACTTTAGAATTGAGAACATTTTCCGCATGAGTGATGGTCCGTTCCAATACCCGTTCATCATGAGCTTCCAGTAGAGCAGGGGCATCAGCTCCTTCTTCATGAAGAACATGGAGTACCGCTCCTTGGACTGGTCCAATGGGAAGGTCTCCACGGGGGTGAGGTTGTAGTCAAACTCCGCCAGGATGCATGAGCTGTAGCCGGTGACGATGGGGCAGGACGAGTACCCATCGTAGATATCCGTTGGGGCCTTGCCCTCGATCACCGCCATCACGTTCCTGAACACAACCGGTGACTGGGCAGCTGTAAGTATTCCCGAATCATTTAATATTCCCATTATAATCCCCAACCAAATTCGACTATAACGTACCTGCCGCCGCGGCAGTCTTCGAGTTGGGACTGGACGATGAATCGCCGATGGAGAACACGTTGCTGTACTTGTTGTGCTGCAGCGTCATTTGGTCGACGTCCACAAAGCCAGAGGGGTTCACCAGCTTCTTACAATTGGCCACCACATCCGGAGCGCTCATTGGGGGAGTCACATGGAGCATGGAGTACTAAGGAGGGAAGTTCAGATATAATACTCATATGAGGTTATTTAATCTTGTTCACACCACATGGCCTCCAAGTCTCAAATTTCGCAATTCGATTCCAAATGAAAGTGAGTATTGAACACATAGAAAAACGGGACCTTGGTTAACCTAACTTTACTTTTCCCAGAAAATTTGTTTATCTCAATTACCATAGCCTTGGTGTCTTAAGTTACTTTAAGTTGAAAGCATTCTTTCGACTTTAAAAGTAATTGTAGTTAACCTAATTTGTGTACTCCTCACCCTAAGAGGGAACAAAGAAATAGTTCTAGAATCCAGATCTATGTATACCCAGTTTACCCGGTCTTACCGTTTCCTCATAGTGCACTCCAGGTTTTGTGAGATCCTCAAACACGGCTATATTATCGCGATGTCTCACTTCAATGAGATTTCTTTGGACATTAAGCGTGATATTTCTCCTCTTGATTAGTTTCATCAGGGCCTCTGCATAATGCTTAACTCCAAAAATCACGGGAAGCGATGTGTTGTAGATGATATTGACGTTGTTGCGACGACCCATCTGAAAAAGGATTCGAATGATTGAGGTTTTCTAGCACATATCCTATAAGTCTTATGGAGCACACCTTCCTAAAGTAGTGTTCTGATATGTATGCGATTTTCTGAGGTGCACCTGCACACTTGATGGGACAATTGGGAAAGGTGAATATAGCATTTCCTTTGTTGGTCCTACGCAGGCATTCGTACACCTGATCCACGTACTTGGGCGAGTAGATGGAGCAAACATTACTACCGGGCGTCTCGAGAGCCTCCACCAGTCCAGGTATCTATGGGATAATAACTCTGTATTATTAACTATAAAACGTTGTATATTAACGCACCTTTTTATAATTGAGTTGCAGTCCGGTGGCAATGATCAAAAAGTCGTACTTGATGGTCTTGCCACCAGAAGTGCTAACCGTATTATTATCCGGATCGAACTCCAGCGCCTTCTCCTTCACCCACTTGGCCTTTTTGGGCAGCACATCAGCCATTTGCCGGTGACTCTGATCCAATCTCTTCATACCCCCTCCTATCAGGGTGAACATGGGTTGGTAGTAATGTTTCTATAGGGGGAATCACCGGCCAATGTCATAATGGACTTTTAACTGTCTTTGGGCTGACTCACTTCTTCCGGTTCCAGGACGACCACCTTGTTGCTCCCTAGACGCGAGGACAACTTGGCTGCCATGGCACACCCACCGGTGCCACCGCCCACAACCAACACTTGGCATCTGGAAAAAACAGGGTTTACTTAATGTCTGGAATATATAATGACAGAATCCTCAAGGGAGATAAGTATAGTCGTATGACCACCCACCTCAACAGCGCCATCGAACCCTGGCCCACCAGTTAGCTCTTCGTTATCGCCATTAATTAGTTATAATCTTAGAGCTTTCTTTCTAAGCGATATAAACATACTAATTCAATGTGATTTGGTAGATACACAAACATACATAGATAGATATACTCTTGCGATGGCATTTGTTCACAGTTTTGGCATAAACTATCACAGCGATATAAACAAACTTACTCTTGCCGCTCGCGGTTCACTCTAGATGTGGACAGGAATCTGGAGGAGAAGGCCGTTGGAGCATGGTTGTGGGTGGCTAGGAGAAGTCTCTGACACTGGCTTATGGCTCCGGGAAGGCGGCGGTTCATCGCAACAGCTGGTTGATCTTCGATCTCTTAACCTGCGATACAAAAAGCGGACTGCAAATGCCCACAGTCGATTGAACACTGGCGGAAAAGAGCTTTCGATAGGGCGTTATCAAACCAGCCACACTGGCAAAAAAAGTTTGGTTTTTTTTAAATTTAGAAAAATATGGAAATTTAATAAAACGCCGAAGATGTTCAGGCGGCACTGTGTAGTACGTCCAAACATTTCGACTGACTATCTAGGAAAACAAATCGAGTGTGGGGAAATTCGTCAGTGAAATCGATCATAGCTACTGATTTAAACACAAATAAATAAAACAATTCAAGTATTTTCTTTTTATAGTAATAATAGTTTTATAACATCAATTCATTTAACTGTACTAATTACAAAAAAAGTCAGGCCTCAGAAAATGTGGTAAATGTTTCACCCGCCACCTATAAAAATCAGAGTGTACGTGGCTAAAAACCAGTTTTTATGTGGTAATAAAATTGTGAAAGCGCAACAGGTTGCACTGCAGTTTTCGGATGGGTGTATACCTGTTTAACCTTGAAAGACGGCTAAAGCTTTTCAGCATGCTTTCGTACTCAGCTGTTTAAAGCTCATGTGGTGCTAAATAATCTAAAGCTTTAGATTAGGCGAATTCTCGAAGCACTTAATTACTATCTACAGTGGATTCCGCCTACAGACAGCACATTACATCATGCACTAAAATACGAGTACTTAATGCTGAGCAAAGAAAATAGCAAAGAATTGCCGGCTTATCAGGCCTCAATAAATAAGACAACCTGTACCACTTGCTTTGTGTTTACAGTGAAACCCGGCGATGAGCAACCCATGAGATCACGCCTTTAAATGCGAGTCCTCAACGTTTACATAGTATCTCATATTTGCCTGCTTATCGGGGCTACTTTTTTCAATTTTTTTTTTTTCTTAGTTCATCGGCTTATATTCATGGTATACCTCCAGGGGCAACCTTATCGAGTGTGCGGCATTTAATGGGTTTTGGATGGCAACTGGCCATTACACATACACATACACATTTACAGAATTTCTTAAGAACTTTTTTGTTCCTATTAAAAGTTTTCCTTATAACGGAAATCTCGCAAATTTTCATAACCAGGCATAAATGGTTAAGTAATTGGTTTCATTAAGAATTAAATATTTTCACATTTGCTTTGATTACGCCAGTCTTATCAAGCTATTCCTATAAGATGTGAACATTAAATGGTCAATTAAAAGATTGCACGCATTCTAATCAGAATATGAAGGTCACCAATAAATTTTATTAATAAACTGCAGCGGTCATCTACTCATATACGTCAAACCCTAAAGCAAGTTTAAAAATGCAACTTATATAAATTAAATTATATTAAACAATAAATTTCTATAATTATGTATATACATATGTATATATTCCATGAAAAGGGAGCTCAGACAAAATATTGTAGTCAATTTCGTCGTTTTCCTACGAAAACGATTTGAATTTCTCATCATCATAACATCAAAAAATGTACAAAAAATTAAAAATTACCAATGCTGACATTGGTACATTTTTTAAGTTTCTGGAATTTCTCATCATCATAACATCAAAAAATTTACAAAAATAATGAAAAAAAATAAATTTCCAAATTTGAATGTGGATTTTTAGAGAATTGCTCCAGAAACATTTAGAGGTATGCCATTTCAAAATCCGATTAAGATAAGTTGAGTTATGGACTTCAGAACTTCAGTGTTTGGACATTTTTGAATTCATACAATATAATAACATCAGAAAAAACAAGATAGAATGCTATAGTCGAGTTACTGAGCTAGTGAAAGTGCAAACGGGAAATTTCAACATTTTCTGGAAAATCGCCAGAAATTGCGTAAGAAATTCTACTCGGCTATTGATCCTGATCAAGAATATATATACGTTATATGGTCGGAAACTTTGCCTTCGGCCTGTTACATACTTTTCAATGAATCTAGTAAACCCTTCTACTCTACGAGTAACGGGTATAATTATAAACTAGGGATCTTTAATTTTCCAGGAATTTTGCACTACTCAAAAAAAAAAATTCAGTCGATAATATGTTCCATTCATAGTATACATACATTAATTTTGACTTCTGATAAAAAAAATAACTTTCCACCAAGCTGCCACTTGTTGAATGCGATTCCCCTTCGAGGGTGTGTCACAGCCAGGGATTTTCCACGGCTCCCCATTCCATGCCCTCGGATAGACAGACGTGCATCGATGATGCTAATAAATATGGTAAATGTGGGATGATTAAGTGAACAATGTTGCCAATAAACGCGGGGCGGACATGTCAAACGCCACGAGACGACAACTGTGACAGCGGCGGGTTTAATTACGCCATGCTGCCGACTGATTGCAGATGGGCATACGGATGTGGGCACAATCCATCTATGGAGATAGACGGATGTGGCCACATAGTCCAGAACGTGGCCGGGGCTGAGGGGCAGGTCGTGGCGAGGTCCTAGCGTGGGCCCGACTCGCCATGAGGTGGCCCATCTTCAATTGGAGACAAGCTGGCAATTCAAATGAAGCCCTATTGACTGATGGCCAAATTGGCTCCGCGACTGCGTGGGCGGCTATTCGAGGGCCAATAGATATATACGGATATTTATATAGAAATCAATGGGTGGTTGGGTGATTGGCTGGTCTGGTAGCTGGGTGGTTGGGTGGTCCTCGCTGCCACTCAACGGGCGATGGGCCATTTTAAATTGGGCGTGGCAGCTGCTGTTGCTAGGTGACCATTTCCAACTGCGGTGGCAAGGTCCCGCCACCAAGCCATCATCATGTGGTTCCCTACCAGATAATGACCGAGCTGGTGGTCACCATGCTGGCTTTCCCCGACTGCCTGTTGCCGTGATTGCGTGAGCTCCACTTCATTTGAATATAACGGTGGCAGGCCACTTGGAGCACGTAGGCCCACACAGTGAAAAAATTGGTTCAGAGTATTGGTTTTATGTAGTTATCAGATTTAACAGACTTCATTTACGTGATATTATTTAAGTAAAACATTTCAGAAAACTTAGCTTAAGCATACAAATATTTTGAATACTTAATACTTACAATCAAAACCTGGTGTTAAAATGAATAGGTAGTAAGTAGAAATGCATTTTTTCCTTATAATTTTTCTATGTATTTAAATATTAAACTGATATATTATTAAAATATGACAAATGCTGCCGCAGATAAGGGACCATTATAAAGTTGACTATATGTGTGGTGTTAATTTAATTAAAATATTGAAAATATCTTGGAAATATCACCACATGGTGTCGAATCGCAAAGATAAGAGTTTTTTGCCAAACAAATATTGATGAGCAATTCTTTTAAAGCCATTTTTTTCACTGTGCGTATTTAGATATTTTTCCAGATTTTTGTGGTATATTCCACATACAAAAGGGGCGTTTAAGAAGGAGCAACAAAGACCAATAAAGCTCTAATTAGCTCTAATTATTCTCGTGCACCTCCAGAGCATTGTTTGTGTAGTTATAAGTCCCATTGTCATGAAGCGGACTACCAATTTTGGCTGGATTTTTTCTCCGTGCCCAGGCTCCTAGACTCCGAAGTGCATTTCAATTGACGCCACACCAAAATCAATTGCAGCATCGTCTGTGGCGGGATCTTTGTGCAATTGGTACGGGGCTCTGGAATGCAAATAGTGGACACCGCGGCAATTGATGCAGAGCCTCCGACTGGAGGCAGCAGGTCTGCCATCGTCATCGTCATAGCCATAACTATATCTGTATCTCCAGCTATATATCCATAGAAGCACGGTGATGGACTGTCTGACCGGAAAGCAGATGGAACTAATTCCCACCAAGCCGAATTAAAATCGCGACCTGCACAAATCCGGAATTATCAGACCAAAGGCGGTTTCCATCCATGTTGGTGGGAATCAGAATGCACCTCCTCGACCAATTGACTGACATCTATTGATCCTTGCCAGAGTCACCGCCATATGGAAATTTGTGGGATCGAGGGGCTTGAGTGTACTGTAAAAAACCGTACTGGTTTTCATATGCATTTGGGGCACGCATTTCATTTCATTTGATTTCCAGTCCGATCCGAACACAGCCGATCCAATCTTCTGCGAATGTTAATGAGAAAAATGTGATTTAAAATAATAAATTTGCATGGCATTTTCTTTGCGAGTCAATCAATCAAAGGGGAGCAACAAGTAACTCAGAGCCAGAGCCAGAGCCACAGCCATCCCATCCCCTGTGGACCACCCCCTTTTTGGGGCTAACGAAAAAATATAAGAAACCCGAGCGTGAACACGAAGGCAGCGGCCACAGATACAGATACGAATGCGGATTGAGATACTGTAGCTGTATTTCGTATCTGTAGTGAGTGCCGACGCCATAACTGTTATTAAAGCCCCTGTAGAGTCCAATTTGCTCGCTCGTCCGTTTGTCCATTCGTCCGTTCGTCCGTTTGTCCGTTTGTCCGTTCGTCCCGCGTTCGCCCACTTGTTGATTTTTGGTTCGGTTCGGGCATGCCCATGCCAGATGCCAGATATAAAAGCATGGACGCTCAATCTTCTGCCACACAGTCCATCATCACTCGCCACATCTCGAGCAGAACGGAGCTCCGCCGAGAATCGACCATATATATTCACATATATATAGAGTCGGGAGTATAACTGTAACTGCAGCCTGAGTTTTAATCCAAGTGAAATCGAAAGCCCACCTTAACGTATTCCATTTCCACCGGAAACTGCAGCCAAAGTTCTAGAACTCTAGTGAAAGTGCCAACGAAGGTTCGAGTGAACGACATCCAATAAACCAAAACTATGCAGGTAGGAATGCTGGTCAATAGCTAATTAAGTGTATTAACATAAGCATATGGCGGGATTTTGCACAAATATTAAAGGCCTAAATGTCTCTGATTATTGGAGAACATAAATATTTTGGTATTTATAAAGAAAACGTGGAAGTTGTAGAGGCGTTTCTTATTTTATTAAAATTAATTTTAAATAAACTTTAAAATATTGAATATTCCACCAAAATTCGAATAATCTTTATAGCGGCAAATTAAATAAAAACCTTCCCCGATAATGTTATATAG